GGATTGTCGAGGTCAACCACAGCTGAGAGGAATACAACATCCCAGCAGAAATACCAAAATACTCGATAAAAAAAAATATTCTCCCCACTCGGGAATCGAGCTCGTTTCTCCTGCGTGAAACAGAAATCGACTAACCGCTGCACCACAGACGCCGTTTCCAATGCTCTTTTAGACAAAAAATTAATTATTGCCAATTATACTAATTATGTCTCAATTACGGAAGCGCAGATTAGTAGTGAAGTCATGTAGATTCGTAAGAATGTGATGACTGAGTGTGTTTAACTGTTTCATAGTGTGGAGCTATTCGAGATACGCATACTTCTTTGTACATATCAGTTTGATATGTTAATTTCATACAGCATACTTATTTTCCCTCTTGGTTCACACTTTTTTTCTAAAGTGTATAACTACGATGGTTTTGTAGGTGTGTGTGTGTGCGTTCGCGCGCGCGCGTTTGTATGTGTGTGTATGTGTGTGTATGTGTTTGTGTGTGTGTGAGTGTGTGTGTATGTGTGTTCTTGTGTGTGTGTGTGTGTGTGTGTGTATGTGTGTGTGCTTTAAAAGTGGTTGTGTGCGTAAATCAGTAATACCAAGAGAGAGAAAGAGAGAGAGAGAGAGAGAGAGATAGATAGAGAGAGAGAGAGAAAGAGAGAGAGAGAGAGAGAGAAAGAGAAAGAGAGAGAGAGAGAGAGAGAGAGAGAGAGAGAGATTGAGAGAGAGAGAGGCTGAGACAGAGTCCAGCTACATGGACTGATTGGCCTATGCTTGAAATCTAATTTTTGTAACTCATGTCTTATATTGAGATGGTCGCTTAATAAATGGTCTTTATTGTTGTTTTTAAGCATTACCCTTCTTGAGATGCTCAATCTTCACAAAAATCGTGTTGTTGAATTCTCCATGAAATCCAGCTCTTTAGTGCCATAGTGTTGTTTGACTGCCTTTGTTCTGTTCTCTTGTTTATTGTCTTTGAACTGAAAAAGAAAAGATTAAAAAGATGATTATAAACCAAAGTATTTGAAATTCTTTTTCAGTCTGGGTGTTTTCCCCCAGATTCGTTGGAATCTAATTTAACTTTTCCTGATACCAGCCTTGACAACACTGGACACCGCCCCCCCCAAAAAAACCCTTTCCACTCTCATCCAACCGTTTTCATTCCTTTCCAGAGGTTGTGTTTAGTACCCACGACGATATCGTCAGTGCCCCCATGTGTGTGGTCATTTCACATAAAACGTTCATTAATAAACAGGGATGCTTTTGTCACAATGACTCTTAAGACATTTTGTGTTTGTTTGCTTAGTTCCTAGCTTTCTGAACTGCGTTGCTCGATTGCCCTGGTACGATTCTCTTCCAGCAGGGTGTTTTGAACAATGGTTGTCGGGGAAGGGGATTGGGGTGGGGGGTTAAAAACATTCACTTACCATGTTCTAGTATAAGATGAATGCTTGACATAATGTCTCTTTGACATGCTACTGCTACCACTACTACCAAGAATGATGATAATGATGATAATGATAACAACGATGTTTATGATGATTATGAAAATGAAGATGATAATGATAATAATGGTAATAATATTTATAATAATTATAATAATAACAATTCTAATAATTATGATAATAACAATAATAATAGTAATAAAAATAACAACGATATTGATAGTAACAAGTATTGCATTTATATAAGGCATCCACGCTCTACAGTACGTTACAAGGAGAAGAGGAAGAAGAAGAAGAAGAAGAAGAAGAAGAAGAAGAAGAAGAAGAAGAAGAAGAAGGAGAAGAAGAAGAATTTCGATGTCTATAGCCGAGTACCTATTCCCACCTGTTGGGCCCTGGGTGAGATTCGAACCCACGATGTCACGTTTCAGAGCCCCTTGCTTACGGTTTAGACTCCCACAATTATATACTGCTGATCACAGGGCTCAAAGTGCGTCGAAGTGTTTGATGAAAGGTTTTACTCACTTTGAACTTCAAAGTCGCACTATTCATTATTCCAGTTAAAGATTTTAATGGCAGATAATGATCCGTACGTTTTAAAAACAGTATAAAATTTCATACCGCCCTTTATAAATATGTTCATTACTTTAACAAAACAAATGACAAAGTGAAACGTCTGATAGTTTAACGTATGAGTGGATTTGGTGTAATCCCTGTGCTTTAATCAAATAATAGATCAGTGACGAGAGGTTATGGTTTATGAACATCGCATTTACTTTACGTCAACACGAGTACACGCTATATGTTGTCGGAGTATGTTGTCGGTGTATGCAAATAGTTTACGCATACATTTAATAAGTACAATCAGGGAATTATTAGTGAGCTTCAAATACTTCTCTCTCTCTCTCTCTCTCTCTCTCTCTCTCTCTCTCTCTCTCTCTCTCTCTCTCTCTCTCTCCGTCTCTATTTCTTTCTTTCTCCTTCTCTCTTTCTCTCTCTACCTTTCTCCCTCTCTCTCCGTCTCTCTCTCTCTTTCTTTCTCTCTCTCTTTGTCTATCTCTGTCTCTCGCTCTTTTTCTCTCTTTTCTCACTCGTTTTTTTTTCGTAGCTCAAACGTCAATCGTACAGCCAAATGAAGATCGTTGAAAAGTTTACAAAAGACTCAGCCCCATTGCGTACCCCCCACCCCTACCCCCTTTTCGTCGTCCTCTTTCCTCAACATTTCCCCAAAAGATAAACTCCTGTAGTAGCGTTTTAGAGAGACACCGCGCAGTGAGAGATAGCGATGCTCAGAGTTCGGACGCCTGCACGTGTTCCCATGAAAAGATCTCCGTGCCACTCGATCCACGAAACGGCATTCAGACTGTGGCACAAGTCGATAACCCATTCCCGTCAACGTGAGGGGGACGCACAGCACAGGCATGAGACCACAGAGACCATTTAACGAGCCTATGATAACTGCAATATTACTGTATCCCCAGAAACCTCGTCCATAACGTCAATGCTCACGCATCCAACTCGTTGGGTTGTTTGATTGGATCGAAAACGAACGTCAAAATGTAAATCTTTTGTTTTCTTGCTTGAGTGAAAGGAAGCACGTTCATACAACAACAACAAAAAAAAACAAGAAAAAAACAACTAACCCCCCCAACAAAACCGGACATTTTCGTGAAAGGAAAAAAGCAATACTTACAGACTAGACTAGTAGGACCTGCCAGTGACGATCTCCAACTGATCACAAACAGTTCGAGGAATTGCGTAAAAGTAAACTTTTAAGGTGGGGCATGGGAAACACACATTCCACTTCTTTTCTTTTTCAATCAGTATTTGTCATCCGCTCAGTAGTTATCACAAGACCGTTACCACTTCTAACATATTAGCGAGGTAAAGATAACTATCTGATACCAACAAACTTTTAAAAAAAAATGTTAATGGCAAGTCCTAGGACATTATTTCAAACTGCAAACTGCTGGAAAACCATCAACAACTTGTCAACGTCCGAAAAGTATGCAAACGTTTTGTTCTTGTGAACGTCAACGAAACAAAATTCATGTTCAATGGCACCTACCATAACTAACCCGTGTCATGGTCTTCTTCTTCATGCTAGCATACAATCCCACGAGAAAGCTACCATGAACAGATCGGCCGTTCGATAAAATGCGGAACAGAAAATGACATACTGTTGTTGGAAAAGACACATCATTATTATTATGTTGTTGAAACTTACTTGCTGCTGTTCTTCTTCTTTTGTGACCAATACGTCATACTTTGTTTAAATGTGCCTAGGCATGACGTTTTCATCATACTCTCATCATGTTTTGGGGGCGATACGAATTTAATGGTATCACCTTAAAAGTTGTTAATTTTGGTTGTTTTTAATGAATAGATACCCTTCTATCTTTGAAAAAGTCTAGTTACTTGCCATTAAGGAGATGGGAGTTGCCTGGTATAAAAAATAAAATTAGCGAGGGAATGGTTGTCAAAGTTTGGCGACTTCCAAAGCTTTAGTGTTCTTGAAAACTGTATATTAGCGAGGTAAAGATAACTATCTGATACCAACAAACTTTTAAAAAAATGTTAATGACAAGTCCCGGGACATTATTTCGAACTGAAAACTGCTGGAAAACCATCAACAACTTGTCAACGTCCGAGAAGTATGCAAACGTTTTGTTTGTGTGTGCCTTTGATCAATGCTTTCCTATAAAACCCGAGTCTACAGAAATGTGTTCTAAACGGAAATAAAAGCTTACTGAGTCACCCCCTCCTCGCACCCCCCCCCCCAACAAAACAATAAAAACTGACCAGCGGTAGGAGATACAAAACTGAAAACGCCTGAAAGTCTCAGGCACAGGTTAAACTGACGATGCGATAATAAGCATTTTCCATATGTGGACGTTTTGATGTATGTCGCAGGCAAATAGTATGTAGGGAAAACGCTGTAGTTACTCGTAACCAACAACTATGACACCAATGTCATACAAACAAACATAACAAAAACAAAAGAGTGCAACAAAAAAAAAACCCCTTCCAAAACCCCCTAAAACCTCCCCACTCCATTGAGCAGGAAACGATTCAGACATTTAAAAGACAGACTAGTTTCGTTGCAATGTTGACGTGCATTAGCGATGAAAATGTATTGGACACAGTCTCTCTCTCTCTCCCTCCCTCTCTCTCTCTCTCTCTCTCTCTCTCTCTCTCTCTCTCTCTCTCTCTCTC